ACAACTTCAGTTATACATACATATGGTGCCAACTGATTTTCTACAGCAAATTAGCTGTATTTTGTATAGAAATGCATTTTAACAACTGTGAAATCAGGCACAGCTCTGCACTAACAGCATGCACAACAGCTGGTAACAGCTTGAAAATGCCTCTGGAAGATACATAATGGCTTGTCCAATTTAAATCCGGCGAAGTTCGATGATATCCAAATGTTCAGTCTTGAACAACAGGATATAATGGCATCTAAGTTATCTTTGTGAATTACTGAGCTCCATGCAGATAAGCATTACTCTAATTGTGCTCCTTAGCAAATAATAAAATGGACCATTCCCATCACCAATCATGCCAATGTGATTGTGCAAATTAAATATGCAAAACATATAGAATAACTACTAGATAGAAACAAGTTTTTAAATGTATTTAGATATCTATTTACACTCATCGTGTTGATTCATGCTGAAAGGGAGTCCAGCCCAGTTACCTGTTGGTATTACAAAAGCTGATCAAAAACCACTGACAGGCAATAACTCAGAATACCTTCCTTAAAATCAATGGGTCAGGAGTGCAAGTTTTATGCCAACTGCCTAATGACAGCCACGTTCAGAGAGCCAAGGAGAGAGACAAATATTTACTTTCTGTAAACTACTGCTGACCATGTTATTTAGGGCAAGAAAGTGCTGTTCAGCTTGGCTAATAATGAAACCCAGATGTAAATAAGAAACTTGTGAAACATTTTCAGAGAGCATAAACATAATACAAACTGCAGAACCACATACATTTAAGCAATTCATTTTCTAGTTAAGTTTCAAAAAAAAAAAAAAAAAAAAAAAAAGCATTGGATTTGAGTGCCAAGAACCCAGTAACAGTAATAACTGCCTAGATAGTCTGTCACCTGTAAGATTAAATACAGTTCATTCAAAAGGCTAGAGCAAATGGCTTGAAGGACTGAAAGCAGCCATGGTAATCAAAGTCAATCAGGACACATTTTCAGGGGTTCCAAAAGACCAAGTATTTGCCCTCAAAGTTAATATAAAATAGAATAAAACAGACTGATTTTTTATGGGCAGATAAATATATGCCTAATTGACATTTGAACAAAGAAGACATGGTGAGATAAGTTATTAAGACACCAACATATCTTTAAAAAAACTCACAAGCTAAAGCAGAAGAGGATATTACATTTGCAAAATTTTCATGAATGTGAGAAAAAACTCAAAATCCCTCTGTATTTTCAAAAACACTATATTTGAAGGAAGAGAAAGGAAAGGTGGGAAACATTTTACTCCTTGTCAATTTGTACACATGCTAGCTGTAGTGAAAGAGACAAAAATCTTTCCTTCAAAGCCAGTCAAAATTCAGAATTCCAACTCACAGGAATTGTTAATATGCCAAAGCTCCTGCTCATTTTCACTCCAAAACTGCAGATATTTTTAAGAGCTGTGATGATACAATGACCAAAACCCTCAAATTTTCAGGAAATGGAACATTATTTTAAAGTTAGCCATCAGAAAGTTTCAATTTTGTTTATATTCTAACACAACATACAGCTTGATCTACTAATCATATAGCTGATATAAAAAAAAAATTAACAAAACAGATGTCATTTGAATTAAGGTTTTTCAGTTGGCATTGTGAAGTAAGTCACTCCTGATTTTAAATATAAGGTCCTAAATATTCTCTTTTATGGTCTGTCTTATTTTAAAATGCAAGCAACAATTAGATGTACTGGAACTTACAAATTACTGTACCACTTCTACTGAAACAAAAATCTCAATATAATAAAAAAAGAATAAATATCTAAAATAAAACATCCAAAACTGTCAAACAATGTCAAAAAGTGCCAACTGGACTTTTTTGTCTTGCACTTTTTTCAATTTCTTTCCTCTCTTCACTTATAGGAGTTGGTCAAGAAGTATTTAATTTTCTTAAGAAGAAGAAGGCTTGGTTAAAAGCCTTTGCTCAATAGGAAATTGATCAAAAATTTTTAGTCTTGTTGATTTCTCACGAAGACATGGCAAAACTGTAGCCCTCCAAAAGCAAGAGAAGTATTAGAACCACTGGACCTCATTGAAGAGATTATCTGACAGGTGGAGGCCAAGATACAAGCAACAAACTTTTCTCTAAAAATGTCTGCTATTGCTTTGCCTTCAGGTTAGTAGAAAATAAGTTATTCCTTTGTTAGTCCTTGCTAGGTAGTAATAATTTAAGCCAGGAGGTTACTTCTGACATCATTTAACCAGCTCCAGAACTTCTCAAGCTCCTTTTTTTCTCTTGCATATACCCTGGCTGTATGGCATAAGGGACTTACACCATTCATCAAAAACACTTTCATTAATTCCCACTTCCTCTTAAATAGAGTGGACCTTAGATTTATAAATAACTATCCACTTCAGTAAGGGCAGCAGAATAAGGAAAAAGATATGCTGCAAAAATATGCAATATAAAATAGAGTTTAAACACTTTATTGTACAAGGTAATTTTAAGGTGTGAAGATTTCCTTTTTTCCTTCTGTTCTTTGAGTAAAATTCTTAATAAAGAGTCTAGAGGACATGTATTTACAAGCAGAACGTGTATAATTTGTTACTAAGAAATAAGGCTGAACGAATCAGCTTGCAAAATGTTTCTTAACCCAGGACTTGTGTGTGGCTTTCTGCTACAGATGCTTATGGGGAGAGAGGGGAGGTCAAGCACAGAAAGAGCACAGTAATGTTCAGTGGGTTGTAGAATCCTGGAAAGAACTTGCCTTAAAGGAGACAAAGAGACTTTGGATCAGGAATGAGTCTAACAGCGAAAGGCCTGAAGACCAGGCATTCAATTAACCTCCCTGTGTTTCCAAACATGAAGCCTCATCTTAAATATCTAATTTATTTCTGTGCCTTCTATTACTATAAGGGTAGGGAAAAAACAGAGCTCATTTGTGCAGTGGCTGGACTGCAAGATTTGAAGTATATGCATCATCACTATCCAGATGTTGCAAGAAGTATTATATACTTCATATATCTTCAGTACCAGAAAAAAAGGATTATTATTCCTATTCCTAGCATTCAACCCTTCATTGTATGATTTCAGGGAAAGGAAACATTTAGATGAAGCATCAGGAAAATATTGCTTATACTACAGCCTTGTGTTGAGGAATAGAAAGCATGAGATCCCTATTCTATGAGGCAGTTAAAAACTGGACTAACAAAATTCTAGCAAACATTCTGAAACAAGGATTTTCTCATTGAGAGAAAAATCGTTATACCTGCTCAGATCTAAGACCCTGTCAGGCTTCTGCCTCTGATGGTGGCAGCTGCAAATGCCTAGGGAAGGATATCAGGCCAGGACAAACATGCAGTAACACTTTCCCAGAACAGCCTCCAAACCTCCAGCAACCCAAGGAGACCTGCAGAATCCCACATGTAATAGCACTGAGGTTAGGAGTCATGCCAGCATTAACAAGATGCTACATAGGAAGAAGCTGTCCTGTATTGAAGGGAGAGATTATTTTTCCCACTGCTAACTTCTGAGATGACTTTCAGCCTATTTAAGGTACCCAGGCTCCAGGTAATAGAAACTGGCATAGACTCATCAAAAAGAATATGGGTGGCAAATCAATATTTGTTTTGTTTATCCCTGTGCCTACAGCAGTTGAAAAAATGATGCTTATTAATTTTCACATGCCAAACATTTAGTTTTACTATTCAGTCCATATCATTCATCAGCTGGAAAAAAATGTTTTCACCTGAAAAAACAAATGCATCTTCATTTTGTATGCAGTGTGTTGTATTTCTGACACTCTTCATTCACATAATATTTCCTTCTTTCTCAAAAACTCAAAAACTCAAACTCAAAACTCAAAAAAATCCCAGACTTTAACAAAACTCATTTTTTACCTGGCGCAACAAATGCATCTTCATGGTATATGCTATATATTGCCTTCTGTTTCCATTTTCTTCTTTAATTAATTAACTGTGGTTCAGTAATACCTATTTGTCATCTGTAATTTCAGCTTTTATTAGAAATTGCTAACCCGTGTTTTTTTCTCCTGCTGAAATAATTAGTCAGAGCTTTGGCTTTGACTATTAGATTTGCACTCTGTTCTGTGCCAGTGTTAGCTGAAAGGGGAAAAATGTCTGGGTAATGTTGAAGTCTTCATATTCAATATCTATTTTCCCCTTGAATACATTTCTAATGCTCCTATCACTTGTCCAGGTGTAGTCGTCCAGGTGTCATTTTACATAACAAATCACAGTCTGATTTTGTCCGTGGTAGTGATAAACTCTTTCTAACATCAGTATAATTGCCATACAGGAAAACTAGTATTTGAAGCATTTTCATTTTTTTCTCAAAATTGCATGTAAACTTTTAAATCAGTGTTGCATCTTTTACATGAAATTCAAGGCTATGCCTTCCAGAGATAGAGAGATTTGACTTTGTTACAAGAGCATATGTTCAGCAATTACTGAAAGACCTCTCACCGAAAACCATAAAGTCTATACTCATAAAGCCAGACATTTAATTTTAAAGAGATCTGAAAATGACAGCTTGCTCAGATGCTTTTCAGGAGAAACCTCTGCACACAGAGAAAGGATCACATCTCTTTTTTTAACCTGGCCCATGACACATGGCACATTCCTGATACCGCCAACAAGACAGGCTTTTTTTGTGAAATGCTTTTTGCCACCTCCCTCTGAATTTATACCTCCCAGAGCAATCAGGGGTTTCCCTTTCTGTGAAGTGCTTTATGTTGATTGCTCTGCTCGGAAGCAACACTGAGAGAGCAGACATGCAGATCTGCCTTACATCTGGGGACCAACATATTCCCTTCCTTTTTCTTTGCAGAATGAATAGCAATTTAAGCTTTTAACTTGCAGCAACTTGCCTAAATGAAACGATCAACAGCAAACAGCAGAGGCAATGAAGAGCTAAAATGCATAGTGTCTTTCCATATTAGGAAATCTTATTTTTAAATGAACTCTTACTCTAATTTTATCAAAGTAATTTGGAGAAGTCTTACCTTCTATGATCTGAGCCGCTGAACCAGCATGGCTTGACAAGCCTAAGAGCAGTAGTAGCAAGTCCCAGGTCCACCAGGCATGCCTGGAGCAGGTGTACCGAAACACAGGGAAGGGAAAGAAGGAAAGAAAAAAGAATGAGACCGAAGAATGTAATGCAGAAGCAAAAGGAGGGAGGAAAAAGAAGGAGAAAATACCAAAGTGAGAGTTCTTACCACGAGAGCATTTTTTTGAAAGTCAGTGGAAAGACTTTGAGTGGGGAAGAAGTTCAGTGAACATGAGTTATATGTTTATGAAAGGCAGAAGTTAGTAAAAACTGGAGCCTGCTGTTTCTCCTCCAGCGCCGGGACACAAGTGGAACAAAGGCAGCTCTCAGGCTCCCTTTCCTTTCCGTGACTCACTCGCTGCACTTCCCTGCTCCAGCGCTGAAACCCGACCCCGCAGAGACTCGCCTGTCAGACCACTGCACAGAACTTCCTCCTGTACATGTCGAGGGACACCCCTTGCTGCCACACATCAGCCCAGCGCTGTCATTTCCGTGTCTTGCCCAAATTTTGGCACCCTGATGCATCTCAGTTCAGCTTCCCTGTCTCCCCCTGCTCCCCACTTCCCACTCATCATCTCCAGTCACTCCTGCAGTAGAACATAACTCCAGTGTCCTCTCGTTCAGCATCATAGAGCCAGTATTATGCATTTTTGTATGGAATGGGACATATCTCTAGTCATTTTAACTAGACTTTAACATGAATAAGGTTTTAGGACGTAAGTGGGATAAGGCAGTGACAGCAACATACAGAAGGTATTAACTTATAGTTCTTTTGTTACCTATGGAGATGTTTCTAAACATATCCTTTTTATGACAAATTTCCTAAGTTTATATGTAAGTAGGAAACTCTCTAGAAAGATTTATAACCCTAATGTAACTTAAGAGTATGTATCTGACTTGGTAACTATACATACATGTGTCTGCTATAGAGATCTTGTACCTAACCATTTCTGATAGTTTCCATTCAAAGTGTTTACACCTCCTTCCTAACTTCATGAAAAGTCTTTTTTTTGCTCAAAAAACATGTAGTTCCTAATAGCCAATTCCTGCTCAAGCAAAAATTTCTGAAAGAATAACCTTGAGATTGAACAGAAAATTTTAATCATAAAACAAACAAAAGAAAACACTTTTCAGTGAAGCAGAGGGAGCCTAAATATGGATTTGCCAAGCTTGGAAGACATGGCATGTAGAAAAGGACCAATAGTTTCCTGATGTGTTTGGCTGGAAGGTGCTGAACCTGGCTCAAGGATATTAAAAAAAAATGTAAATAAATAAATGTAAATACATAAATAAATGGAGTTACTTGGAATGCAAGGGTACCAAGACAGTAATGAAAGGAAAAATCCTAGTAGTCAGAAGAACTAAGAACTTCATTCTACAATCGCTAAAATGTTTGAGTTTGGGGATTAACTTCTTTTTTTTTTCTTTCTTTTCTTTTTCTTAATGGGTACCCAGAGTCCCACTCATCCCACTACATGAGGACTGAAAAAAATGCTTCTTAATTCACCTTCCCCATATAGAGCTCTTTCTTTTCTCTCTTCCTAGACTTTCTTTACTTTAATTGCCTGCAAGCAGTAAGACTTGTTAGGAAGAGTGTTTGCAATGTTTAAACAAACCAGGTACCATAATTATTTATTTTATGCCTTTATCTAGGACACTGGATATCTGTTATGCCAGGAGGAAGACATTGTCCTTTCAAAGAACTTGTAAAATACACATATTTATAAGCCAGGTTCAATTTTCCAGTTCTTTCAGATAGCCTTTAGTAATAGCAATACCTAGAAAAAGCCATTATTAGTCCTGACAAACATTTTTAACACTTCTACTGTTTATAATTGGACAAGTTTTTCCTCTGACTTTAGAAAACCTCTAGATAAAAGGAAGTAACAAAAGGAAATAACATCTCCTTTCCCCATAGTAACTACATCACTCATTCACATGAACTATATGAAATGCTATTGAGAAAGTCATTAATTTCTAGTGGATATTTTAAGGTGGATAGCTGGCCAATCTTTAATATTTTTAGAGCATTTGGATAGAGCAGAGCAAAGCAAAGCATATTCTTGACCTCTGCATTCCATTAGACTTAAATGGATGGCAGTGGAGAAGTCTTTAAATATAAACAGTTTATTAGCCCCACTTCTGCATAGTGCCATGAGATGTCTTGAATTTCTAGTGTTCATTTGCATTGTTAATACTCAGAGAGTAGAGTATTAACAATCTCTCTATGTCTGCTAACTGTAGCTTGCTCCCCACAAGGGCAGTGACATTTGTACACATCCACTCAGTTTTAACCTTGCTGCGCCTCGTCTGTTTTAAACACAGCAGGAGTCATTTGTAAAAGGACATAAGTGCTTTCCTTCAGTACTGTCCAGCTGTCTTCATCTCAGCTTTGAGTTTTCCTGCTAGTTAAAAATATCCATTTTCCAGGGAGCAGATTTGTTTGCTCTCCTCAGCTCTGTCAACTGATTGCTTTCCGTAACATTTGAAAAAGCAGCATACATTGCTGCTATTGCAGTTCTTACTCATTCACTGAGTTAGTACAGCTGGTTGCTCTTCTGTTTTGGGTGATCTGTATTAAACAGTGTTTTTCTCCTGACCTGCAACACAAAAAAGTTGCCCAGACTTCTCTTGAGCATGCATAAATGTTTGATACTGGCAGTATCCTGCAGCAAGGAGTTCTACCGCTCAATTATGATTTCTCAATGCTCTCTTTGTTTTTACAAATCCCTTTCACTTTTTTTAACTTAGTTGTTTCTTGTATTGCAACCATTGCACGTATTCAGTCATCTTACTAGCTTTTCTCTTGAGCTTCTTCTGTTCTAATACATCTTTTCTTTGAGAAGGGAGAACCATAACCAAGCATGGGGCAAATAATTCCAAGATTATATAGTGACATAACAATGTTCCCTATATTTTTCCTGATAACAATTGATGCACTTTCTTGACCACAAATGAAATGATGTCTTCATGGAATACTAATAAGTCCAATGACTTGCTCTTGAGTGGCACTTTTATACATAGTTTTCTCTTATAGTTTCTCCTTTCTCCCATAGATTTCTCCTCCCTCTCTCAATGTATAAATACATTTATGATAAATGGTAAAATTGAATTTCCATTATCACTTTATCTGCCACTCATTTACTCTTGAAGGATTCCTTTGCAATTCTTTACAGTCTGTCTTTATTAAAAAAAAATCATAGTGTCATCAGACTTGGTCTTACCCCTTTGATTTTGAATATTATTGGATAGCTGCTGCTAAACAACTACTTTCGTGGTGTGTTGATAATATACTTTCATGATTATAAGATATGTTTCATGACTCTGCATTTTCTGCTCTTCTTCCCCTAAATAAGGAACCTTTCAAAAAGCTTTAAAGAAATGTATAAATGCTGTTTCAATGCATCCTTATAAAGGAATAAGAGGGTACATTTACTAAGGTAATTAAAGTTAGGTCTGTACTATACCCTACAGGAAGATATAAATTAAGGTCACAGGGGCCAAGTATTTTGGCATTTCCTATCTGTCTGGTGTTTCATTTCATGTAATTTGAATGTTTCTGCCTCCTCTATACTTCCCTCTCAGTATTATAAAAAGCACTGGAAAAAAAAATGGAAACCACATGGCTGGGGCTGGCTGGCAAAGGAAGCAAAGAGCAATCAGTTGATTGAATCTGAGTCACTTCATTGAAACTGAAGTTCGTGATGGAAAGCCATCAGATGGATTTTGGAAGGGAAGAGACAAGGTCTGCTGGGCACAGACATGGCTATCAGGAGAACCAGACTAGTGCAGAGGTTGGGTGAATATCACATTGAAAGAGGTACAAAAGAGAGAATAAGATTAATTAATTAATAAGATTAACTGGGTTAAGCTTTGGAGAAGAGGACAAAAGTAAGAAGAGCAAGACTAAAAGACAGAAAGCAGAGGAAGGACAGGCAAGGCAGGAACTGGGACTTATCCTACTTTCCAATTTGAAAATGGGACCAAGAGGCAAGGAAAAGTAGGATAAATATTTAGACTTGGGGAGAGAGAGATACCTATTTCTCTTCTACAAACCCTAAATCAATCAGGTGAAAACACTGCCTGAAATGAGAAGGCTGTGGAAGGGAAATGAAGGAGCCAGGGAGAACTGGACTACAGATATAGATAGAAGAATATCTGAAAAGGATGTGGCAAAAAAAGTCATTCTTAGTGGGAAAGCAGGAGAGCATGCATCATCTGCTAAAATACTTTTATTTTTCCTTCCCCTCCTCCAGCCAAAACTTCAAGTAGAATCCAAAATTCCTGCATCTGTCATGCTTCTGCTACAAACAAGCATCTGCCGAACACACTATCAAAGTGTGTCTCACAGTGCTAAAGGCTAATAGTTTGACTGGTGTACACTAAGAATTAAAATGTTTCAGTTCTTCTGAATGCCCACATGAGGGTCAGTATGATCTATCAAATCCTAAATTTGTGTCCTAAAACAGGACACTAGAACTGTTAACCAATTCTTTAACAGTTTGTAACAGGATCACAAATGGCTGAACTCTTCCTCAGGTTTACAGTAGTGGTATAGACATTACAGTCTAGACACAAAGGCAGGATGCAAAATGGTCTGTGTTTAGCAGTTGAACAAGCAATTGAAGTTGTACAATAGAGCCTGTGAGACACTGGAAGCAAGCAGAGACTGATGCTTTGCCTATAATTTAAACTCAAACACATGTCAACATTGATCCTATTGCTATATTAAATGAATTTATCATTAGCAGAGTACATATTTTTAAGGCATATTTAAAAATATATCAGCCTTAGTTATATTAAGGACATGCATTGCACTGAAAGGCTCCATTCAGACTAAATGTCAAACATTCCTTTCCTATGAATAAACCCACCAAGAATTATATGCTGTCGTTCCACTGTCTGTCTTCATGTACAGCTGAGGTGAAGAACCATTTTCCCCTACATGCACACAGGATCCACCCAAGGGGCTAGGATGAAAACTAAGTTTCACCAAAATTCCCCCTGCAAATTAGTTTTAATCAAATATTTTCAATTCCTTTTTAAAATGGTTATAGAGCCTGGCCCGAAGGCTAGTAACCATACTGGCTACTTTGTGCACTGCTTTGAGATAAACTTCTGGCAACTATGATCTTCTAGAGAGGGATAAACTTCCTGTCCCACTGGTTTATATATTAAGCTGAGATATCTGTAGTAGAGATGGAAGCAGCAGCTCTCATTCTCTGTCAGTTATGGCCACTGGAGGAACGTCAGTCAAGCAGGGTCACAGTACAGACAACCTCAACATGATGATTATATTCGCTAGCAGTCTG